GCGGTCGCACGCGATTTCTCGCGGACCGCACTAGAGGGTTCAGAGACTGTGGCTTCCTGAACCCGCAACACCTGACTTTCTAAGCCTAAGGCATCCCGGAACCTACTCGAAACTCACCCGAGTCCTCGAAACTCCAACCCAAGTATACACACAACCTCAAAAAAATCCTACGGACATATTCGTGTAATCAAATTACCAAAATAACATCACGAGCATCGAATTAAACCTCGAGATCACTGAAATTTCTCAAAACTCTTTTAAACATCAAATTTCTCAATTAAGGTCTGGATCGCGTCAAACGACGTCCGTTTTTAACCAAATTTCACAGGAATGACTCAAGTCATATATAAGACCTGTACCGGGTGCCGTAACCAAAATACGGGCCCGATATCATTGCTTTCTAAACAGTTNTTGCTTTCTAATCAGTTTTCATTTCAAATTTCCTTAATCAATTTCTGGAAACAATTTCACTTAAAAATTCATTTCTCGGGCTTGGGACCTCGGAATTCGATTCCGGACATACGCCCGAGTCCCATATTTTCCTACGAACCCTCCGGGACCGTCAAATCACGGGTCCGGGTCCGTTTACCCAAAATATTGACCGAAGTCAAATTTATTCATTTTAAAGTCAAGACTTAACATTTTTTCCACAGAATTTCATATTTAAGCTTTCTGGCTACGCGCCCGGACTGCGCACGCAAATCGAAGCGACTCTAAATGAGATTTTCAAGGCCTCGGAAGCACATAATGGGTAAGAAAACAGGTGATGACCCTTTGGGTCGTCACACCATGCTTTGCACTTAAGTGAGTTAATACTTTATGTTCAGAGGCAGATCCGAGATGTGAACTTTATGGGTTCGGGATGACACTGATCATTTGAGTTATCTCCTTACTTTATAGCAGTTATTGCTCCGGTTCCAGAAGGTATAGCTCTCGCCTCAACTTTTTCTTTGAAATCGGAGACTGATCCAATTTCCTACTGAGATAGGCAAGCGGAGGGAGAACTAGACGTATCTTGCTAGGCAAAGACAAGTTAGAATGGATAGCTCGCGAGTGGGATTTTTGAAATGTAATATTTATTCATATTTAGTAGATTTCGTTACACATATATAGGAGTTATAGGGTTCAACCGAACCTGTAGCTTTAGTTGTACATCCGCCCTCTGCTTTTGATACTTCAAAAAAGAATCTCTCTTTATAATCTTATCCTGCATGTTGAGTGTTCCTTCAGCAGTCAACTGTGCGTGCTTTATAATATCAAGATGAAACTGAAGTAGTGGTTCATTGTTTGCTGCTGTGTATGTTTTTGATTCTACATTGACCATAGAAATATTTGTTTGTTGGGAATACTTACCAGTTAAGTGGCAGGTATACTTGTTTGATTCTACTATATGAGAATTGTCCAAGAATGTGCTGAATTCTAGAATTTTGTGTTTGTGCATTTCATTCATAAATGTCTTGTCTCCTATTTCGGCATAGTTTTTTAAAAAACATTGGGAATTTGGCGAATTGGTAGGGCCAAGAGCTATGTTGCGCGGACTCTCCAAAATGATGCCTCACCCATGTCGGATCCTCCAAAAATACACTATTTTTGGAGGAATCGACACGCACCCGACAACATTTTCGGAGAGTCCGAGTAACATAGGCCAAGAGTGTACTTGGTTTTTTTACATAGTGCAAATTCAAGTCAAAATTTTTTTTTCCGCTTCACTTAGTTGTTCTTTCATCACCATATCTCTTTCATGATCCTTCTAGCTAGCAGTTGCTATATATGATCACAACTTCATTGGAACTAAACGATCTCCAAAATTTTCTATTTGTGAAGCTCCAGAAAGAGTTCAGCAGTGACATTGAGATGGCCAATTCTGCTCTTCGGGGTCTCACAGTAAATTCATCTTGTGGCCACTCTGATCTTACTCAACTATTTCGGCTCGCTGCCCATGAAGCAAAGAAATCACGTGCTCAAAATCGGATACTCCGGGTGGTAAGTTTTTCCATGTTATAACACAAATGTTTTGTTGCCTTTCATTTTCTCTGCTGGGTAACCATTTTCATGTTAAAACACAAATGTATTTAGTAGGCTCCCATATTTCACTGTTAACATATCCTTAATAGTGAGTTTGAATGGTTAAAGCGTCAACTGAGTTTTTGCTTTATAGTCTCTTCCTGAATTTTTGCTGGTGCATGCTTAACTGGGCTTATGCTACACATGAGACTATTTTAAAAGAGAGCAGTTTCTTTGAAGCCAGATACTCACTCTATCCTTCATTCCTTCTCCTTTTATGAAAGCCACATTTCAAAACTAAAAATGTAGCTGGCACATACGGTGCTTCGTCAAATATCATCAATTCATGCATGGAACAGACAATGAACTGCTTGATTGTAATGCTGTAGAGATACATCACTTGAATGCAAATTTTCATCTAGCTATTCTCTAGCTTATTTTCTGTCAAGTAACCATATATATAATTTTTTCGAGTGTAGATGGGGCAAAAAGTTCCAGATTAGCTTGTCTTGGTGCCACTGATTTGTCCATTTTATTCATTAACTCCAGTCATTGTTTTCTACCAAAACATTCTTATATTTGAAAGAACTCTAGCAGTGAACATCTAATTGCTTCTGGGTTGTTGACGAGTCAAGAGCGACCGGCTGCTGATATTTCTGGGATTTATTGGAATCTGGATTCAAAAGGTAAAACCAAAGAAAAAGAGAACCAAAGAAAAAGAGAAGCCCCCCCGGCTTGTAAGCTTATCCATCAAATCGTACAGTCAAGGTTGATGACATGGCATTTTCTTCTCTTTGGCTCAACCTTTGGGATGACCATTAATGTGGTACTCCACAAAGCAAAGAGAAAGGGGAGAGTTGAGTTCTGAAATGTGTTGAAAGCAGGAATCATGCATAAAAAATTAAAAACTGAGAAATAGAGAACCCTCTGGAGTCTGGTCTATGTGGCTTTAGCAGGCTGTTTTTCAACCTTGGCTGAATATATCATTGTGTGCTTCAGAAATCTGTTTAGATTCTGATTGGTGGAGAGACAGGAAAAGGCTAGGACAACACAGCAGTTTTGCTTATGAAATGGCACTCTTGGTGGACCTGTCTCCTTTCTTGGACAGCAAGATGTAAGGATGTGAGATATTCTATAGAATTATCTGGGCCACTTCACTTTATACATGTCAGTCCTTGACATTGCTTTACTGGTCATTTGCTTAATTAGTAATTAGTATGGGTGTCAAATAGGCGGGTTGGGCCGAATTTGGCTACTTAACACAGGTTAAGTCACTGCACAAGTCATGACTCAACCCAACCAAAGTTTGCTTGGATCTTTGGGCTAAAAATTGGGCCACAAACCAACCCCAGTTCAAACTCATTTTTTCATTTGCTTGTTTGTTATTTAATATTTTGTTTAACTCCAAATTAAACGAGAAGCAACTTTTCTTTTCTTCAAAGAAGTGTGTGAAAGTGTAGAGAAAGAAATATACCTAACACGACCGAACCAACCAAAAATTTTATGCTATTTTTTGGTTGTGCCCAAATTGACCCATCTACGAATTTATTTTCAACCTAGACCGGTTGGAAGGGTTACACTTATATGTGTGAAATTTGACCACCCTAGTAGTAAGTAATGGTCTAGGAGTTACTGCGCCCACGCAAAATGGAAGTTCATGTAAGCCTCATGGATTAAGATATAAGTTCTATGTTTCTTACATAGAGTTGGATCGGGGAACATGTATATATTTTCCAGGAATAGTTGAGAAAAGCTGTAGAGAAGTGTCAAAATAGGCTGCATGTGCCCTTTTGGTTAAATAAAATGGAATAGTACTTATTTGTAAAAAAAGAGAGGAAAATGGTATGTGTTAAAACTCTCTATTAGGCAGCAGAGAAAAGGGACATTTGATTTGGGGCAGAGGAAGTGCCATTCATGAGGTGGTATAGGAGTTGCCACTTGTTGTCAACTCGTCCAGGTGATTACAGTGCTCAAGTACTCTTTCTAGAAATTACTTTCTAGTTTGGACTTTGGATGCGAGACTTCTATTGATTACTTTCCATCTAGTACCTTCCTTCTTATAAATACATGTAATTACAACTTTTCAACTTACTATTGTTATTGTTGTTATATTATATGACTTTTTATTTTCTTAAACAAAACTATTTTACAAATCATCCTTACTGCATAGCAACCTTATAAATGCTTTCCCTTGATCTCCCTCTGACAGGTAAGGCTTTGACATGAATCCCTGCTTCATTATTGTTTTGGGGGACATCGTTTACCTTTAGCTTCTTGTCTGACATGTCTCTTGTACACGGGAGTAACCCTTCTTTGTTCATATGAAACGAAAAAAAATAAAGAAGAGGTGAAGTGAAGGAAGTCACATGATATAAATAGATATTTATTGTTCTTGTTTTTGCTTTTTCTCTCTTTACTTGTTTCCAAAATGAAGGGGTTATAGGATGTTAACATCATTTCACTAGATTCAGCTTACTATATAGAAGTTGTGTCCCCCCTTTTTCAACGTAAGAGATCCATTCTTTATTGTAATGAAAGAGTATATCATGAAATGGACTGGAACAATAATCTTAACTATTTTCACTTGATTAACCATTTATATGGATTTTATATGGTTCCTTTGCAAGTTGCCAATCACAAATGAAGTTGGCATCTCAAAAAAGTGCTGCTTCAAGTACATAAGATGCCCTTTTGCACCTACGCTATCCTGCTGCAAACATTGTGCACTGTGATGGCCTCATGCTAGTAATAATCAGGATATTATAATTTTTGCGATTTCAAGTAACTCTGCCTAGTTCAAACAAAAGAAAAAAAGGGAAAAAGTAAACCAGCGTAGTGAGGTGACAGAATATCCGACAGTACATTAAAGTTGAGAACGAGATGCCTCTGTGGGTCTTCTGAACCTTAGTTGATAGTTAATGTCCTCTCACTATGCTCTATGGGAGTGCTTGCTATAACCATCTTTTAGTGTTTAAAATGATATTTGCCTTCTGAGTAGCTATTTAGATGTACATTTCACGAGAAGCATCTCATTCATGCTTCTCTTCAATATATGCAGATACTCCTATATTGCAGGTCGTCAATACCACCACAGCATCAATGGCCTGCTACTCAGAAGCTTTTCACTTTGGATGTAGTTTACCTTCACGACAAGCCTGGACCTGACAATTGTCCTCAGAAGGTGTATGATGCCCTTGTGGAGGCCCTTGAACTTGTCAGCGAATATGAGGCATACATATTTGAGAGTGGTCAGGGGCTCACTCGTGTCCTCTTCCGTCATATCTGCACACTTCTATCCCATCCTCAGCAACGTTGTTGTCAAGATGACATTGACATACCCAAGTCCCTCGCAAAGAAGTCACCTGTGGCTGATCCAGCACCAGTTGATGAAAACACCGTTGTTTCCAGCCAATAAATACAGAACACAAACATTTGAATCATCAGACTTTCGGGGAACTGCTTCTCATTTTCCATCTTGTTTTCCTGTCTAGAATGCAGCCCCCATTTGTTGATAACACTTTAAAGTTAATTTTAGAGGTTTTAATGGATTGTATAAACGTATCACTGTATCAGGATTGCTAAGCATTATCTGCTTCCCTTTTTTGCCTTCTGCATTTGCTGTGTACGTACATGTATGTCTTGGAATATCCTGCTAGAGATGTTCTATTCTAGAATTCTAGGTCCTTAAAAAAACATTATTTGCTTGTTAATCACGAAACTAGGGCGTCGACTGAAATTTCCTCATATCCCACAATGATAAGAAGAAGCATTCAAGATGAATTTAACTGATTAACATGTCTGAAGTGTAAGGCGTATAAGGAAGTATGGAAAATTGAATAAACCATTCATTGGTCAAGCAATCTTGAAGATCAAATTTTCATTGGTCATCTCTAATTATGCTGCCAATCTCCTGAAATCATCTTCATTTTTTAGCTTTAAAATAACTTACAAACTATCATTTATTTGATTTGGTGAGTAATAACTCAAAAGCTTAACTCAAAACAGCATCTTCGAGAAAAACTGTATCATATGTTAGCTTAAATGTGCAGCTTGTTCATGGCCTACTCATGCTTGGCCTATATTATATGCTCGAAAAATTTGAAAAGGAAAAAGGTGAATTCTTAGAGGATAAGTGCTGATAGAAGATTGAATTCCCAAATTATGTGCTGCCAAATCCATTCCATTAGTTTTTTTTTTAAATTTTTTTTATGCCAGTTACTCTGCTCCTTATCCCTTAGCAGCTAGACCTTAGCATAGTTATTATTTGTGGATTCTATTAAATTAAGACGATACAGAGTGACATACTCTTAATATATCTATTTTAATATGTCATGGGATATTCAGTTGAGGAATATTTATCCTTCTTTCTTCTTCTGAATAATATTAATTCCTGTTTGGTTATGATGAAGTTGAGGCATTGACTGGATCACTTTCTCTATATCTCAAGGATAAGAAGAAGCATATTCAAGATAATTTTTTCTTGATAAGCTACCTGAAGTATGAAGAAGACAATTATTGAGAAAATTGAACCGATCATAATCTATAGTCAAACAAGTTTTTTAATATGATATTACAACTACTAATTCTGCTTAGGCACTATGTTCGAAATGTCAAAGGTCCCCTCTTTTTGGATACTCATTGAGTCATATCTCCCATTATAATGCCTCTCTCCACGAATCACCTTCATTTCCCTTCTTTGTTTCACCTTTAATTTCCAACTACAAATGATTTAATATGGAGCATAATAATTCGCAATTTTAATTGGAGTCGTCAACTCAATGATAATAATCTCATTAGTTAGCTACTACTTATCAACTATGTGTGGGCAGCTTGTTCATAGCCTACTCATCCACACCTGAAACTATTTGTTAATTAAGAAAAAAATACAATAAAAACATACAACCTATTATACCACACCGTGAGGTCTGAGGAGGGTAGTGTGTACGCAGACCTTACCCCTACCTTGTGAGGATAGAGAGGCTGTTTCCAATAGACCCTCGGCTCAGGAAAGCATAAACACCATATTAACGAAAATATAGACAAGAAGGGACAATACCAAAAAGCGATACAAAAGTAGAATAAAAACAACAAGACAGTAAGGTCAGGAGCGTATGCAGAATTTTTTGCAAGCGGTGTCGATATTTAAAGAAGTGAACAAATGAACAAATATAATAACAACTCCATATTAAAAAAAAAGATTCAAATTATAATAATAAAACACAATATAACTACACCACAATAACTTTCCTCAACGAGTTTTCACTTTTTGAAATATTTTCATAAAACTTCATTATAGTACTAAATATATTTTTTTAATATAAGGCATTACAAAACTACCAAATTTAAATAAGTTTCGAGGAACCTAAAATAATTCATTCAATAATCTGCTCATTGAAACTAAAGAGCAATAATGTAATATTAGAAGTCAAGGCTTTGAGCTCTAAAAAGATGAATATAGAATTGTTGAGAACCGGACACGTAACCTCCCACTCAAAACTTAGTTGCTTAACCAATGGACCAAGGATCGGTTATTGGCAAGTGGTGGCATCTCATGGATACTTAGAAATTTCCAATATTATAATATTTAATAAAAATGTATATTTGATAGAACTTTATGATGTACACTACGGTGTGTCCGCCCTTGAACAGAGGTGGATCTAGAATTTCTAATACATGGGTGCACTACAAAAAAAAGAGACAAATATGTACCCAGTAGGAATTAATCGTTATACCTCTTGGTAAATAACACAACCTTCAACCAAGTGCACCACTCAACCTTCTTGGAACATGATGCCAACAGTTAATATTTTATCAATTTTAAAAAATATGTACATAAAATATCTAATTTTAATGAGAGACCATGGGTTCATGTGCCCCATAATTAAGCGTATAAATCCGCCCCTGTCCCTGAGTAAGGTGATCAATAATGAAAGAAAATAACATTAGTCATAAAAACCTACTAACAACAGAAAGCGAGACTGTTTGCAAATACTACTGTTATGAACACTTTAGACTACCTACTCTACTACCCTAATCCTCGACCTCCATACCTTCCTATCAAGGGTCATGTCCTCGGTCAGCTGAAGCTGCGCAATGTCTTGCTTAATCACCTCTCCCCACCTCTTCTTTGGCCTACCTCTACCTTGCCGTATTCCCTCCAATGTCAACCTCTCACACCTACTCACCGGGGCGTCTATGCTCCTCCTCGTCACATGACCAAACCACCTAAGCCGCGCTTCCCGCATCTTGTCCTCAATAGAGGCCACATCCACCTTGTCGCGAATTACCTTATTTCTGATCCTATCTAGCCCGGTGTGCTCGTACATACATCTCAACATCCTTATCTCTGCTACCTTCATCTTCTGTACATGAGTGATCTTGACTGGCCAACACTCAGCCCATACAATATCGTTGGTCTGACCACCACTCTGTAGAACTTACCCTTAAATTTTGGTGGTACCTTTTTGTCACACAAAACACCGGAAGCGAGTATCCATTTCATCCACCCCGCCCCAATACGATGTGTCACATCTTCATCAATCTCCCCATCTCCCTAAATAATAGACCCAGGGTACTTAAAACTCCATCTCCTAGGGATGACTTGTGAGTCCAGCCTCATCTCTCCTTCCCCTGCTTAAGTCTCGCCACTGAACTTACACTCCAAATGTTCTGTCTTGGTCCTGCTCAACTTGAAACGTTTAGATTCCAGGGTCTGCTTAATTAAGAAAAAATAGAAAAAGAATAATAGGAGGATTACATGAAACTGCCATTAGGTTATAGGGACCAGGTGGATTATCTCGATATAAATTTTGGGTTTAAATTTATCCTGTGTTGGCCGAAAGTATTAGCTAGAATCGATATTATTTTTATTGAAGGTGCGATAAGCAGGGGCGAAGCTATACCATTCTAATTGACTGCGAGAAAATTACTCTCTGTATATAAGTTAAATATTAAGTTATAAAGGTATATAACATATATTGAACACTCTTTGTCGTAGAGTTTTTTCACCTTTTTAAAGTTTGAACACCCTTGGAAAAATTTCTAGTTTCGCCACTGACGATAAGTTATCCAGATTATAGTCCTGGTTTTAATTCCAGGATCATACAATCGTGGAATGTCCTAATTTTGAACTAAACAGCCCATATTTTTGGTAGAATTGGAACTTTGATCAGTTGCAGCTAACCATGATGTCAATGTACTGGGAATTCTAACAAAGAACAAAAAAGAGGAATGAATTCCACTTCCATATGACAATATGCGTTTCGAATTGAGTTTTATGTTCTCATATTTTGATTTTTGACTGTACAAGTTTAAAAATAAATCTTTACGAAATTTGAATAATTTCTACATTTCGTTTGACGTTTATTTGCAGGTTCTTACAGATCGATATCTCAATTTTAAACTAATTCATTTATCTCAAGTGTAATATCCTACCAGAGATGTTATTCTAATATTCCAGGTTCTTAACTAAACATTATTTGGTTGATAGTCATGAAACGAAGGCATCGACTGAAATTTCCTCATATCCCACAATGATAAGAAGAAGCATTCAAGATTAAATTAATTGATAACAATAACACGTCCGAAGTGTAACACGTATAAGGAAGTATATTAAATTGACATGCCATTCATTATTCATGATAAGTCATGCGTCTTTATTTTGATGATTTAACAATATTCGTGAGAGAACCAGATAAAGAATCTGATACAATTTATTCCTTAGCGTTCAGAGCAACTAATCAAATGTCTGGTTCAAATCATAATGAAATCAGATAAGGGAACAATATAGGGAACAAATAGGGATTAGGTTATTTGGTCACAATACAAGTCAACTTTACAATTGTTAAACTGCTATATTGGCAACAGTACAACAACACTGTTGAAGTGTGTAGTGTACTGGACACTCCATTGCATCATCTTTGATGACCTCACACACACATATTATCCATATGAGGCAAGAAATTTCATTTACAAAGCCACCACCTCTCTCAAGAACAAAGCTGTTGCAACCCCAATGACTAGATCTAGAGATTGAAGATATCTTAAGTCCTTCGGTTTGCTGGGTCTTTATTATTTTGTTCGTCATTTGTAATCCTACACTATTTTCAAGAAGTGTCTTTGTAGGATAGATTTAAACCACTGTTTGATTTAGTTTCTTGACTAGAGTTAGTCAAGGTTTGTTGCTTTGTAATAAATAATTGCAAAGGGCTTACGATAGAGTTATTGTACGGAGTGAGAGATTAAAGTTTAATTCCTAGATTGCAATAGGTTGTAATCAGAAGTTTGCTCGGTTTAGTAGAGTTAAAATCCTACTAGAGTAAGTCGTGGTTTTTAGTCCCTTGAGCAAAGAATTTTTCACGTAAATATCTTGTGTTCTTTATTTACTGCCGATTTACCGTGGGAATAGATAGAGAACCTAGTTCCCTATACTGTTTGGTTTTACTGTCTGTTGCTTACTGTGAAAACTGGTAGAGAACCTAGTTCTCTATACAGTTTGGTTAACACCTAGAAAGGATCAACATGGTTACTCCACCAAACTTTGAAGTAGGACAATCAACTTACAGACCACCAAGATTCAATGACCAATACTATGGCTGGTGGAAGACGAGGATGC